ACTTTAGTGTAATTTTTTCAATATACGCTTAAGTTTAATTTTTTCAATTCAAACTTCATGATTTCTACTTTAGTCTAATTCAAACTTAAAGTACACTATGTTTTGAAGTTCAAACTGTGTAGTTCAAACTTTAGGCTAGTGTCCTAAAATTCATTTATTATGGTTTTAACTTTAGGGTATTGGAGAAAGAGAAAGAATAAGGAGAATAAAAAGAAGCGATAGTAGTATTGACCAATTTTAAGTAATCTCTAACGATTTGGTAACTAAAACAATGCATATGTTCATGAAATTGTATCTGTAAGTTTGTATTATGTAATTCAAACGTCAATTAGTACTCCTGTACGAATTTAGACGGAGCTTATGCACAGTGGCGGAGGCAGGATCTCCACGAAGGGGGTTCAAAAATTTTTTTTGTAGCTAGTGGGAATTGAACCCATGATCTTATGTAGATTTTGAACCCCCTTGACCACTAAACTACACTTTTGGATTGTGTTAAGGGTGTTCAAAACTTAATATATAGAGGTAAAAAATAGATTTTGCCTTATATATACAGTGTAATTTTTCGGCGAAGGGTGTTCGGGTGAACACCCTTGCGCCCCCCTAAATCCGCCCCTGCTTATGCAATTTGAGAGCCATGCTTTTAAGTGGGAAGTGTGCACAAGAAGCAAGAAGGAGAAGAAGAAGAATCGAAGCGGGCAGTGTCCTTTTAAGTGCTGGCTAAACTTTAAATAATTTTCAAATCTTGATTACACCTTAAATAGTGGCCCAAAATATGCATGGCAACTGGTGCACTTAGCCCAAAGCTTGAAAGTGTGTTTGGGGGGGGGGGGAGGGGGGGGAGGGAGGGGGAGGGGGAAGTACACAAATAGCCTTTGAGTGGATAGTCTTTTAATTTTGTCGCTGGTTGCCCTATGGGCGGAACTTCAAGTTTAACAAGTGTTGCCCCTTACTTGTCCCATGAAGAACACTTTTAACTTTTGACTAGAGCCTTTAATATGGCTTAGCCCATTGGGCCGGACCAATCCAATCCGTGATTTAATAGGTTTGGGCAAAGATATTCGGAATCCATTTAAAATGAAGCTTTTAAGCCCGATCAAAGTAAGCCCGTGACCCATGAGGCTTGATCAAGGCTGGACTGGACCGACTAGTGGGCTTAACAAACATACTTAACTAAAATATAAATAAAGCATATAAAAAAAATATAGGAAACTAAAAATAGCAAGAATAGTAGTTCAAACTCAAATTCCTAATAATTTTTATGTGTTTAAATACTTTCTGTTCTTTAAATTTTAATTATTTCATAATATTTAACAGATTACCATTACACTTACATATAAATTAAGATGGAAATGAAGATGTTAAGACATATTTGTTACACAAGAGGACTCAAATGTGCTTGATGAAGATGATTTTTTAGTGTTGGATATGTCATGAGGATTCAAATGTGCTTGCTAACTCTATATACTTCTCCGTCAAAGTCTTTATGTACCAACATCCAACTCTCAACCTGGAGGCATCCTTACCACCCCTACCCCTTGTCCCCACCTCCACCCCCTTGAGGACCCCCCTCTCCCCCGAGGACATGACCTTACCCTACCATCATTCAGTACAAACCACTGTAATCTAATACACACTAAGCAGGAACTACGACAGAAGCAGCAACGAACTAATAAACAAGGTAAACAGTCCGAAACTAAAAGGCACAGAAGTAGAGACATAACTAATGAACTAGGAATGATAGTAGCAGCAACGTATGTGAGACTAAATACCCTAAAAGATGCTAAAAAGGCCCGCAAGCAAATACAAGTGAGGTAAACAGATTAACCACAATTAGAGCACAACGACTAATAAAGAACACGCTAGGATCAAAGCAACATATGAATAGGATATCGAAAATGGAAAGTAATAAACAAGAACACACTAGAAACAAAACAATAAGTTTTAACATAATATATCATTGTTATTATATAAGAGAGGATAAGCAGGCACCTCTTGGTCAACATGCCTGCTTGGCATTTAGAGGGTATTTTGGTCATTTCAATTACAATGGAGTAATACGATTGGTCAAAAAAGAATCTTACTGTAGCTACTGTATAAACTTTTGAGTGATTTACCTAAACTACCCTTTGCTTATGTCATTGCTCATCACCCTTAAGATATGCATAGTTTTGGAAATGTAGGCCCATCTGACCATTTATTCTACATGCCATGCGTTTATAGTAGCATCTGAAGTTGCCACTTCCTATCACGTGGACCCTCTTTTAATGTTTCAAAGTTCCAACTTTCAACACATCTTACATTTACGAAATTGCCATTTCCTGGAGTATCAAATGGCTTATGTCATGTTAAATATATTACATATCAGCCTTTTTTTCCAGCTATATTCTAACCCAAAGTACATTAATTTTAATTTTCCTTCCTTTCTATGTGCACATTTTTGTATTACTTGTAGTCATTTTTGCAAAACTTTTGTGGATAAAAATATTGAATTAGTATTTTGATGTCCAAACCAATTACTCCTATCAGATTTTAATTTTGATTTTGGTTGGAGTAAAAAATTATTTCTTACAATAGATTGTAGAAAATTTATCAAAAATGAAATAAGATAGAAACCTAATACAATGGAAGTGATACAAGGTATTTATTGGAGGAAAAAAATTCCTTTTGTAAAAATAAATTACAGAAAATTTATCAAAAATAAAGCAACATACAGACCTAATACTCTAGACGTAATATAAGACTATTCCAAATGAAGTGAACATTTTTATTCAATAATTTATAATAGTAATAGAAGAAAAATGAATTATGCACATAATAGCGATATGAAAAAAAATGTAAAGTTATTGATGAGTAGGAAAAATCCAGTAGTTTATCGACGTGATTAACTTGGTGCAAATTTAGTGCAACATTGCCGGAGGTATTACTTTCTTTACAATGATATTAAGGATACATTTTCCAATTAAATAGAAGAATGACATTTATTATGCTAATAACTTTTATAAAAATTAAGCAAAAAACTAAAAACATTACAGAAGAATTAAGAGAAAAAAAAAAGAATTTAATTGGAATCCAAAAGCATTGATATATCTATAAAAATAAAAAATAAACAATAAACAATAAAAATATTAAACTACATGCCTTAACTTCAGGAAAAAGATATTTTTATTTAGTTGAAACACAAAAACAAATAATCACCTAGCTTGTAAAAATAATGAGTAAATCTTTATACTATCAATGTATATAACTTAAGAAAATTTTTTACTCTTGCTAATTATCTCAACTTAAACATAGTGTTATTGGGCCCATGCGCAGCATTGGCTATCCTTACTAGTGAAAGTAACAAAACAACAGATGTTAACGGAGTAAATCGAAAGCTGATTGTACAACAAATCTAATATTGTCCAAACGGTAAGATTATCTTGTTATATTTCATTTGTACTAAGAAGTACTAAAAAGGAAAAGAAAAGAAAATACTACTTAACATTGTTGGCTTTCCTTTTTTTTTTCCCACGGTTTATAAGGTTGTTAATCGCATATAACTTACCATGAAAACAAAATTAATAGCTAAATTTAAATCATATCCTATCCTTTTCGTTTTATGTGAGGTGTCCTGTTGAATTTGGAACTTTGAAATAAAAGGAAAAGATTTTAATATAAATTATTTATATGTACAGTACTAAAATCGCCTTTACCAACAATATTTTGAGAGATAGTACGCGCACATATCTTTTTATTTTATCTTTCAACTCTAATAAAAAATTTGCTTTTTATACTAAGTCGGCTCCAACAAGTCATGCCAAAATAGTAAGATAAGTGTGTGCTAGAGTTGGATAGTTTTCCAAAATAAAGAAGTATTAATTTTTGGACTAATTAAAGAAAAGGTATTTTGCAGAAAATGGATGCATGTAATTAAAATAAAGAATTACTACTATTTTGAAAGGAAGTCAAAATCGTGGATACGATAAATAATAAATAAATCTTAGTTTTCTCTTCTTGAACAGGATATTTTTTTGGTTATAACCATTCGACAAGTTTAATAAATACTACACTTATTAATAAAGATAAATTAGTAATGTTAGCGAGTAATACATGTATTGATTAGAGTAATATTAATTTATATTAAGTCCAAATATAAAAATAATTCAAAAATTACCACATAAGTTAATTATGTAAATATTGTTCATATAATAATACATTGATTTCTTCTTATATAGAATCTCTTCAGCAGGAAACATTGGACTAATTAAACGTCCAACTAGCTGTACAAAAGTTTATATAAATACTAGTTTGCTTATACTTCTTTCTTTTGCTTCAAGCATTCGATGTACGAAACTCAATGGTCTAATTAATTTGAATTTGCATCGAAGAAAGTTAATTATTGGAGATTTACTTAGCGCTTCTATTAAAAAACGTCATATTTAGAACTTGAATCCGAAATTTTAGCTGAGAATAAAAGAATCTTTGGCATTCCGTCCGGTGATATTTTCTTGATACATCAAACCCAGAAAACGACTAGCAAATGAAGCCAATTGAGAGATTGCTAGCCACTTGTGACAGTAGATCGAGACATGCACAAAGATCTTAAGCTGTAATGAGTGGCGGAGCAACATACATTAAAGGGTGTCAATTAATAGTTCTTCGTCGAAAATTATATTGTATGGCTAGGTAAAATATTAGTATTATTTACGTGTATATATATATATATATATATATATATATATATATATATATATATATATATATATATATTGACTTTGCTTGATTTTTTCGTAAATTTTTCTTTATATTTTGATTTTGTTAGTGAAAATTCTAATTCCCCTGTTAACCAGTAGTATATAGTCGTTAGAGAATGGAAACAAGAAGAAGCCCACATTTAGAGGAGTGATCGGAACCCTTAGCTAGGCACCATCAATATGTTTGGGGCCAAAAGCCACTAATAGTTGCAACTAGTAGTCTCATACTGTATTATCTGTTCTTGTTTGTCGTTTTCTGAATGACAGTGCTCCCCGAAACTGGAGAAACACGGGAGCTGCTAGTATCCATTAATCTTTCTGAAATTCAGAAAACAAAAAAGGCCTCTTTCCTTCAGTTGCTCTATTATATCAGTGGTGGCAAAATGGATAAAAGAAAATAATTATCCACCATATTATTCATTGAAAATGGGTTGGATAATTGATTTTTAAAAAACGGATTGAATATGGTGAATAACCATATTATCCATTTAGAAAATTGATAATTAATGGGTTTGACTTTTACATTCGTAAAGCCTCAAATTGGGGGTTCCTCTTAAGAATATCCGAGTTCCTGATCTTCGACTGGTGATACCCTGACCGGAGATCAATCTTGGAGAATACCCTCGCTCCCTGAAGCTGGTCAAATAAATCATCAATACGAGGTAGAGGATACTTGTTCTTGATTGTGACTCTGTTCAACTGCCTTTAATCAATGCACATCCTCATCGTGCCATCCTTCTTCTTCACAAATAGAACTGGCGCACCCCAAGGCGACACACTAGGCCGAATAAACCCTTTATCAAGGAGTTCCTGAAGCTGCTCCTTCAACTCCGCCGGTGCCATACGATACGATGGAATAGAAATTGGCTGAGTGCCCGGCACCAAATCAATACCAAAGTCGATATCCCTATCCGGTGGCATGCCCGGCAGGTTTGCAGGAAACACATCTGGAAAATCTCTCACAATCGGGACTGAATCAATACCAGGAGTCTCTGCACTGACATCCCTCACAAAAGCCAAGTAAGAAAGACAACCTTTCGTAACCATCCGCTGGGCCTTCAAAAAGGAGATCACCCTGTTGGGGGAAAAAATCAGTCGAACCTTGCCACTCAATCCGTGGCACACCCGGCATAGCCAACGTCACTATCTTAGCATGATAGTCCAAAATAGCACAACATGAAGATAACCAATCCATGCCTAATATCACGTCAAGCAAAGAAGGTCCACTCGGGTCTCCAAACCCCCAATAGTCACCACACACGACCGATATACACGGTCCACGACAACAGTATCGCCCACCAGAGTAGATACCCGAACAGATGAAACAAGAGACTCATGGGGCGTGTCCAAATAACGAGCAAAATATGACGACACATATGAAAGAGTGGAACCAGGATCAAATAACACAGATGCATCTCGGTGGCAAACTGAGACAATACCTGTAATTACGACATCTGAAGCAATAACATCGGGTCTTGCTGGAAATGCATAGAAACAGGCCTGACCTCCACCTGATCGACCTCCCTCTCTAGGATGATCCTTAGCTGACTGTCCTCCACCCCTAGCTGGGTGGGTGGTGAAGTAACTGGTGCCGAAGTCGATGGCTAACTCCTCTGCTGAGACGGACCCCAAGACGACGAGGACACTGCCTCCACATATGCCCCAACTCTCCAAACTCATAGCAACCCGCTGGTGCTGGAGACGGGGACTGAAGGGAACCCCTAGCACCGGGATGACTAGCAGAAGAACCTGGCATGGAGGAGCCCTGAACTGATGGAGCACGAGACGAACTCTGGGCTGGAAGGGCACTAAGTGAGGAATGGCCCTGATGAGAACTGTGAGAACCATGGCCTGATAATGCCCCACGATAAACTGGGCAAGCTGACTGAGCATGTCTGAATGGACGGCCTCTGCCGTGCTGAAACTCACCCCCATGAGGAGCACCACTGATCCACCCTGACTACGAGGCCTCTTAGCCTCCCTCTCAACCCTCTCCTAACCACGAACCATCTCAATCTGTCGAGCTATGTCAACAACCTCATCAAAGGTAGCACTAGATACTCTCTTTTTGGTCATAAGCAACCGAAGCTGAAAACCGAGGCCATCTATAAACCTCCTGATCCTCTCTCAGTCTTTGGGAACCAACCTGACCGCATAGCGAGCCAACTCGGAGAATCGCATCTCATACTGTGTAACAGACCCATCACCCTAATGAAGCTACTCGAATTGCCTACGCAGCTCCTCTCGGTGAGACTCAGGTACAAACTTCTCCAGGACGAGAACGGAGAACTGCTGCTAAGAAAGGGGCGCTGCGCCAACCGAAATACGCCTCTCGTAAGCCTCCCACCAACTAAGTGCAGCCCCGGAGAACAGGAAAGTAGTGAACGTGACCCCACTGGTCTCCAAAATACCTGCGGTCCGAAGCATCCTCTCACACTTATCCAAGAAACCCTGTGCATCCTCACCCTCAGCGCCACTAAATGACGGAGGCTGAAGTCTACCAAACCTCTCCAATCTGCGCTGCTCGTCCTTTGGCATAATAGGAGCTACATAGTCCTGAGCAGCTGCAACCGGCTGGGCTGGAGGTACCCCCGGTGTCTGAAGTCCCTGCACAACCTGCTCAGGTGTGCGAACGGTGGGAGTCTGAGTGCCTCCCCCGGCCTGAGAAGTAGCTGCGGCTGTAGTAACTGAGACCACCTGAGCCAGGCCAGTACACACTGATAGAATCTGGGCCAAGGCCTCCTAAAGGCTTGGGATAACAATAGGCACAGCCGGTGCCTGAGCTGGTACTGCTGGAGCGTCCGCAACCGAGACCTGATCATGAACTGGGGCGGCTAGTGGATCTGCAGGTGCTTCCCTAGCTGCTGTGCGGACGACACCCCTGCCCCTACCACGACCTAGACCGCGTCCTCGGCCTCTAGTGGCCCCAACTGGTGGTACTGGTGGTCGTCCGTCCTGACAGGTAGCATGTGTCCTCACCATCTGTGAGAGAATAGAATAACAGAAGATTAGTTACCAGAATCAACAGATTCGCACGCTAGGAATTCAAGAATGTGAAGTTTTTCCTAAAGGTTTTGCAGCCTCTCAAAGATAAGTACAGACGTCTCCGTACCGATCCGCAAGACTCTACTAAACTTGCTCATGACTCGCGAGACCTATGTAACCTAGGCTCTGATACCAACTTGTCACGACCCTAAAACCAAACCGGTCGTGATGGCGCCTATCGTGAAACTAGGCCAGCCGACACAAATCCCAAATCAAATTATTAATTCATAAAAGATAGTTTTAAGCTATTAATTGACAATATCTCATAACAGGGGTCTAAATAATCAGTGCGGAAAAATAACACAAGCCCGACCTCGGGGTGTCACAAGTCACGAGCAACTACAAGGTCTTTCTAAGTACAATAAGACTATCATAGTTCGGAAATAAAGATACTAAGAATAGTCTGAGTAAGGTAAGAAGGAGAAGTGCAAGGCTGCGAATGCCAATCAGCTACCTTGCCGACTCCGAAGACCTGCTGGAAGAACGATCAGCGCTCGCTATCGCGACCCACAACTCCTGGATCTGCACACAAGGTGCAGGGAGTAATGTGAGTACACCAACTCGGTAAGTAATAAAAGTAAATGAAAGCTGAGCAGTAAGAAAATAGATAATTCCACGTCATAGCACTACAACCAAACAGTATGTTTCCAAAATAGTACAGAATTCAGTTACCTCATGAAAACTAAGTTTCAGTGAAACCTTTTAATAACATCTTTCAATAGTTTCCAAACCTGTGAGGAAACAGTGAGTAAAATAATGATGAAAACATAAAAAGCCCCTCGGGCAAGACATGTATCATAAATCGTCCCTCAGGCATAACATCAGTCATAACCAGCCCCTCGGGCTACCTCACAATCACTCATAATCTGCCTCTCGGGCAGCAATATAAATCAAGATCAGCCCCTCGGGCAATATCACATCACTCACACTAGGTACCCACGCTCACTAGGGGTGTACAGACTCCGGAGGGGCTCCTACAGCCCAAGCGCTATCACAAGCCATCTCGTGGCATAATAAATCAGTCCCTCGGCCTCTCATATATCACAAAATAGTACAACATGCTGCGGCATGCAGCCGGATCCCATGATATCCTCACAACACAGGCCCTCGGCCCTACTCAGTCAGAATACCTCTCAAGCCACTTGGGCTAACACTAAAACAGGATGCTCAGTCGAAATATCATTTATGCATCAAATCAGAGTAAATAAGACTGAGTTATGAAATCAGTAAAATATAGCATGACTGAGTTCAGTTATTAGATCAAAACAATAAGGAATTTCAGTAAAGAAAGCCCCTAAGGGTCCAAACAGTTGGCACGAGGCTCAAATATGACATTCAGCTCAAAACATAGTAATACTTTCTAACATAAGATAATATCAAGTAGTTTCAGTCAAATACACAACTTAATAGTTGCTACGGGACGGACCAAGTCACAATCCCCAATGGTGCACGCCCCTCACGCTCGTCATCTAGCGTGTGCATCACCTCAAAATAGCACCACGATGTGAAATCCGGGGTTTCATACCCTCAGGACAACATTCACAATCATTAATTACCTCAAACCGGTCCAAACTCTAACCCACGATGCCCTTGCCTCTCGACTCGGCCTCCAAATGCTCCAAATCTAACTAAAATCAGTATCACATCATTAATACATGCTAAAGGAACAAGGTCCAAGCGAAAATAATCAAATTAACTCAAAAATCCTGAAATTGGCCAAACCTGACCCCGAGCCCATGTCTCGGAACTCGATAAAAAGCACATCACTAGAATCCTTATCATCCCACGAGTCTATACATACCAAAAACATCAAAATCAGACCTCAAATGGTCCCTCAAATTCCCAATTTACACTCTCCAATTCCAAGCCCTAAATTCCCAATTTTCACCCCTAATCTCTTCAATTTCCATGTTTAATCAACTGAATTTCACCATATATACGAGTATTAAGTTCAAAAATCTTACCTCAACAAGTTTCCCCTTGAATCCCTCTTCAAAACCCTCCAAGAGCTCCAATCCCGTCTCTAAAATGGTGGAAATGGGCAAAGTTCGCGAAGGGTTTAATTCATACCTTGTGCCCGGGCATTTCTGCACCTGCGGCCTATATCACGCTTCTGTGGACCGCATCTGCGGTTTTCACTTAAGTCACCAGCTTCCGCACCTGCGCCTTAGGCCTCGCACCTGCGGGCTCGCAGGTGCGATCAACACCTCCGCTCCTACGACGAATACCGATCTGCGGTCGCTTCCCGCTTCTACGATCATCGCACCTGCGGTCCCCACTCCGCAGCTGCGGAAACAACAGAAGCAGCAAAGATCTGCAACACCAACTCAACTCCAAACCTTCCGTCAACCACCCAAATTCATCCCGAGGCGCTCGGGACCTCAACCAAACATTCCAACAAGTCACATATCACCATTCAAACTTGTTCCAACCTTCGGAACACTCAAACAACATCAAAACATCAAATCACCCTCGGATTCAAGCCTAAGGATTCCAAAACTTCCGAATTCCGCAAACGACGTAAAACCTATCAAACCTCATCCGAATGACCTAATATTTTGCAAACACGTCAAAAATGACACAACGGACCTACTCCAATTTCCGAAATTCCAATCCGACCCCAATATCAAGATTTCCACTGCCGACCGAAAAACTCCAAATTTCCAATTTCGCCAATTCAAGACTAAATCTACCACGGACCTCCAAAATGCATTCCGATCACGATCCTAAGTCCCAAATCACCTAATGAAGCTATCCGAACCATAAAAACCCAACTCCGAGATCATTTACCCACAAGTCAACTTTCGGTTGACTTTACCAACTAAATAACCAACTTAAGAGACTAAGTGTCTCATTCCACCCTAAGACCACTCTGAACACAACCCCACCGACACGATATGATAATATACAGTTGAACAACACACAAGGAACTAGAAATGGGGAGAACGGGACTGTAACTCATGAAACGACCGGCCGGGTCGTTACATATTTTCTTTTCAATATGTTCTAAGAAAAACGATCTCTTTTTAAATTTGAATAAAACTTAACTTAAAATTTCTAATCTACCACTAATCTCAAAATTTATTTTTTCTCAAATGTTATTATATGTTTAAAATCAAAAGTTTCAAAAGTCTTATAATTACACAAATATTTGTTATGGCAAATTATTTCATATTTAGCCGCAATTTAAAAAGTAGTCAGATATTGCTTCATCTTCTTGTTTGCTTTAGTTTTTCAGGTTTAAAATTCAGGATGTGCTGTCTTTGAAGTTAAGTTTTTAGTTCAAAACTTTGGGATATTGTCTCTATAAGTTAAGTTTAATTTTTTCAATTCAAACTACATGATTTCTACTTTAGTGTCTTGACAGTAGTTTTTCAAATTCAAACTTAAGGTACACTATGTTTTGAAGTTCAAACTATGTAGTTCAAACTTTAGGCTAGTGTCCTAAAATTCATTTATTATGGTTTTAACTTTAGGGTATTGGAGGAAAAGAAAGAATAAAGAGAATAAAAAGAAGCAATAATAGTATTGAGTTAAGTAATCTCTAATGTTTTGGTGACTAAAACAATGCATATGTTCATGAAATTGTATGGAAGGTTGCTGACTAAAGACAGATTGAGGGGTTGTGGTTATATGGAAGATTCAACATGTTCTTTATGTAACACTGAGGAGGAAACCATTGATCACTTGTTCTTTAAATGTCCTTATTCCTCAAGAGTATGGACAACAATGCTGCAATGGCAAGGGATTCAGAGGCAAACAATGACGTGGGCAAATGAAAATGAATGGGCAGGAAAATACTACAAGGGGAGGAGCACAACAACTGAGTTGTATAAACTCATCCTGGCAGGAACTCTGTACTACATATGGCAAGAGAGAAATGACAGAATTTTCAAAGGAGAACAACGATCAGAAGTAATACTGAGCAAAGCAATAATGCAAGACGTGCATTGGCGAGGAACTAGTAAATAGCGGCTACAAAGAAGATTGATGGAGCTTAATTACTATCCTAATGTGCAATGAAATGTTCTTGTAGTTAGTAGTTAGAACTGAGGCCAGGGAAATGAAAGCTAAAATCTGGGGCTTATGTCCAGATTAAGCTCGACTGCAGGTGGTAAATATTTTTGAGAAATGAAAGTTCTTTAATTACAAAAAAAAAACGTCAATTAGTACTCCTGTACGAATTTTGACGGAGCTTATGCAATTTGAGAGCCATGCTTGATTGCAAATCAAAATCTCTATTGATGTGGACATTAAGAAGAAGAACAAGAAGACATAGCAGAAGAGAAGTGGGCAGTGTGCACAAGAAGCAAGAAGGAGAAGAAGAAGAATCAAAGCGGGCTGTCCCCTTTTAAGTGCTGGCTAAACTTTAAATAATTTTCAAATTTTGATTACACCTTAAATAGTGGCCCAAAATATTCATGGCAACTGGTGCACTTAGCCCCAAGCTTGAAAGTGGGGGGAGGGGGAGGGGGAGGGGGAAGTACACAAATAGCCTTTGAGTGGATAGTCTTTGAATTTTGTCGCTGGTTGCCCTATGGGTAGAACTTCAAGTTTAACAAATATTGCCCCTCACTTGTCCCATGAAGAACACTTTTAACTTTTGACTAGAGCCTTTAATATGGGCTTAGCCCATTGGGTCGGACCAATCCAGTCCGTGATTTAATAGGTTTGGGCTAAGATATTTGGAATTCATTTAAAATGAGGCTTTTAAGCCCGACCAAAGTAAGCCGGGGACCCATGAGGCTTGATCAAGGATGGACTGGACCGACTAGTGGGCTTAACAAACGTACTTAATTAAAATATAAAGAATATAAAAAATTATAGGAAACTAAAAATAGCAAGAAGAGTAGTTCAAACTCAAATTCGTAATAATTTTTATGTGTTTAAATACTTTCTATTCTTAAAATTATAATTATTTCATAATGTTCGACAAATTACCATTTGATAAGAAGCTAAATCAAAATAACAATATGAAACAAGAAAATAGACAAGAATGTAGAGAGTAAGAGATGAGAGCTTCTTATTTCTTCAAGTTTTCAAGTGTGTACAATGTGGTGCCAAAACCCTCTATTTATCGGATTACATGGAGGTATACAAAAGAATGCCATAAACATGACATTAAATATTTGAGATCATGGAGGAAGATCATGGGGAGGTTATGGAGCTGTGGGAATTACAACTATAATGGCGAGAGGTAGTGGGAATTATCTACATAATGGAGTAGAGTAGTGGGAGTAATTTCTTTAGAAATTATAGACATCCACAAATATAATTATAATATTTCATAACACTCTCCCATGGATGTCTATAGATAATGTGACTCGTTAAAACCTTACTAAGAAAAAACCATGTAGGAAAAAATCTTAGTGAAGGAAAAAAAGTACACATATCTTGTATTACGCATTGTTTGCTGCCTCGTTAAAAACCTTGCTAGAAAAACCCAGTGGGATAAAACCTCCGCTAAGGAAAAAAAGTGTGCAGCACGTATCTTACTCCCCCTGATGAAAACATCACTTTACTTTTCGAAAATGACGCATTCTAATCCAGTATACCAGCTTCTCAAATGCTGGGTTGGTAATGATTCATTGAACAGATCCACTAAATTATCAATCAAATAAATTTGTTGAACGTCTATATCACCAATCTGTCGAAGATCGTGTCTGAAAAGAACTTTGGTGAAATGTGCTTTATTTTGTTGCCTTCTATTTATCCTTCTTCCAATTGAGATAAGCAAACCGCATTATCTTCAGTATTATTGGAATCTTCTCTTCAAAGAAAAGTCACACGTCTGTTGTGTGTTGAGTCCCTTGCTTTATCAGTTTCTTATCTTGGCATGACTTGAATAAGTATCAACAATTAACTGCCTTGTAAAATGATAATATGACAGTACTCTCACATGCAAATAGATTGTTAGCAGAACAAACTTGAGGAAAATGCCTGCATTTGCATAACCAACAAAATCTTGGCAATATTTGTTAGAATAAACAAATCTACATCAAGTATTCCTTTTGAAATATAACACTAATTGTATTTCAATATCTCCACATAGGAATAAAACTATATCTCACTAGCATATTGTTATACTCATGGTTCTAGCCAGATATATTAGTGCACCAATTGCACTAGACACAAAAACAAATCATGAACACCATAATCGCTCTAATCTATATAAGGATTTGCCGAAGCTTTATTTAATAAATTTTTTTGGGAACCTTAATATGCTTCAGAACAATTTAAATCCTTCAAGGATTTTCATTATATGCATATCAAATCTATTTTCAGACCAAAATCTGAAATGACTCCATTCACCACAGGAGAACAAGTCTCAATATAACTAATACCATGATATTTATGAAAATCTTGTGCCACAAGTCGTCTTTATGTCTATCGACTTGATTTTTCATTTCACTATTTGCACAATGGACTATCCGTCCAATTTCATATTTTTCAGGTGAAGTCAATTTTCATTGCTCATTTTTCATTTGGCCAATCATTTATCTGTGCAAATTCCATGACAGATTTGAGCTCAAGATCCTCATCAATATTAATAATATTGAACGCTACATTATATCAACAATATCGTCGACGATCATTTTACATCGGTTCCTTCATCACACAATAAAGATATAACTTATTGAGATCTCATTATTTTCAGGTACTTGAGCATCTCCCATGAGGTCTTATAAAATATTATGTCATTGTGCTCTTATAGAGCACTTGCCTCCTTAGTATGACCATCTTTATCATTTTCTCCTCTCCTTCTTCACGGAGTTTTATCTTTGGAACCGATTAGTCTATTACTCTTCATGCATTCCATAGACTATGTCCATCATGGACTTTATTCTATTTGGAACATTAGTAGCTGAAATATGATATTTAGTTTTGGATCAGCAAATGCGCATGGCAATATTTTGCAAATGAATTATCACTTGAACTTCAAGTTTATATTTTCTTGTACGAGGATCTAAGTGTACTCATAGTAATTCATTCCATGTATTACTTTTTTCAGCTGCTCATTTTCCCCCCTAATGTTGGGATCACCAACACATATCCCCAAGCTTCTTTGGGGACCCATCTTTGTGCATTATGGTGGCACAATTAAATCATATAGTACATCCATATTTCTAGATAAAAATATTTGGTTCCTGACACTGAACCAATTGTGATGGGGAGAATGTATCATAACTTGTTGGCTAGATGCATACAAGTGCTGTTGTATATTAAATAATACATCTCATACTAAATTTCGTTTTGGTAATTTTGTTCTCATAACCAGTGTTTAGCTATAATTGGAGGCATACAATCTCTGGTAAACCAACTTGTATTTAAACTAGCATTATCAAGATAAATTTATATTCTGGACTGTGCTCTAATAACTTGAGCAATCAATCTTGCAAAATCCAAACTGCAAGTTGATAACAAACGCACATGTGACCATACAATAGATGCATCTATTAAAATCATATGATAGTAAACGGTCCACATAGCAAGTCACTGGGCCCATATATATCACCTTGTATTCGTTCCAGAAATGAAGGAATACAATCCCAACCCCAGCTGGTATAGTAACCAATTTATCATGAGAACAAGTCGTAAATGAGAATTCTCGAAGAATCTCCTAATTCTTCAATATATGCCAATGTGAATTCTCAATCATTTTTCGGGTCATAATTGAACCGGGATGGCCAACTAGTCACGCCAACTGATATTTATTTCAATAGACATCTGTACTATGTTATGTGATTCCATCATCATGCTTATAACTCGGGTAACCTTTCATATTTACCCGGTATGATTATAGTAATACGAAGATAATCAATCTTCCTTTTATTTATAGTCTCAATATGCCAACCACTTTGGCTAATATATTTGAAACTAAAAAAGAGTTTTTTGAGACTTACTACAATATTAATGTTATGAACAAATTTGCTCTTTCGTAGCTCTTAATTGATTTTGTACTACAAGATCTTTTATCACACAATCCGTATGGTGAATATCTCCTTCACGGAGAAAATCATATCATAATAATTGTCATGGTTAATATCATAAGCAAAATCTTTTCTTACTTTAATTTTGCCTTTAATAACTTTTTATAAGGCATGACAAAATATTTTCGTCGTACCACATGTACACGACCAATGACATATTCGTGTAACCATATAGTAATATTCATGATCTTTCTTTCTCTCAAACCTCCTGTAGAGGTGAGTTGTAGTATTTATTCAACCATGAATAAATACGTTCTTGTACATAATTTATATCACATATATATTTTAACATTCACTTCAGGAATGAGTCTGTATTTACAATGCTTATCACAAGTCGCATTCTTTCAAAAAAATAGACTATAATCGTCTGAGCATGCCTCATATTTAGAGACCATATTGATACACAATTCCTTCACCTTTGAAGGATTATTTTGAGAACCTTTATCGTTCTTCTTTTTATAATTATCATAATGATGACTATTATTATTTTGGTCTTTGGTACGCTCACGTTCATTGGTCAACCATTAGTATTCATTTAGATTTATTATGCACCGCTATCACATTCACTTCAAGAATGGAGCAAATTAAATGGGACAAGCTTCATGCTTTTCCATGAAAAATATATTATTTTTCTTTAGTCATTATTATATCATTAATATGGTGCATTGGGACTCATACCCAGTGCCTTACTCATATAAAGGCGTGTTAGGCCATAATGAGTTGGGACTTAACCCTAAATCATGTAGGCCATAATGAGCTGAGACTTAAACCAAACTCTTATCATCATGGTGCACCGGGATTCGAACCCGATGTCTTACCCTCATGATGCGTTGGGACTTGAACCCATCGTCTTACCCTTAACCAATGTCATAATAGGCTAAAATGTAGTATGACTCACCTTTCATTATTATATGCTTAAGTTAATTAAAAATGACCAGAACTAATATCAATAAAAATTGGATGCAGTACATACTCGTGTACTAATATTCTATATGTAAGCTTGTCAAAATAAATAGTTACATGTAGCTAGTGTAGTATATTATGTTATACTGCAGAATAATGCATAATCATGCGTTATATTAGGTGTACCCAAGTACCTACGCTTGTAACTGGATATACTTGAATTCAGAAAGAAAATACACTTAAAACAAAAACAATTTCAAGTAATCTCATTATTACTAACATATTTTGTTTCTATACAGAATATGAATAATCTGTAAAAACTTCTTGGATTTAGTCAAAGTAGGATGTCATATTTTAATGATGCAAATACTATTTATAATCATATTTTGGATATATACTACTGTCAAGAAAACACTCTTGTTATCTAAGTCTACTGATGATCACTTCTATTCATATTTTAATAATGCAAATCAAATATGAAGAAGTCTATTAAAATTATCACATCCTTATTCGTAAATAAAGAAATCATGGTGAAGTATGAATATCTTTTTGTTTAAAACAGAATTAAGAAAAACTAAGCATCCAACAAAACATGTCATTATTCTTGCAAAAGAGAGAAGCAGTTGTACCTGATAATTTTGAATCTGAGCCGAGAACTATGAAATAAGATAACTCACCGTAATGGTTAGAGACTCGTGCTGATAACGTGTTAAGAAACTAAATTAAAATAACAATATGAAACAAGAATGTAGAGAGTAAGAGATGAGAGCTTCTTATTTCTGCAAGTGTTTCAAGTGTGTACAATATGGTGCCAAAACCCTCTATTTATAGGATTACATAGAGGTATACAAAAGAATGCCATAAACATGACATTAAACAATTTGAGATCATGGAGGAAGATCATGGGGAGGTTGTGGAGGTGTGACAGTTATAACTATAATGGTGAGAAGTAGTGGGAATTATCTATATAATGAAGTAGAGTAGTGGGAGTAACTTATTTAGGAGTTATAGACATCCACTAATATAATTATAATATTTCATAACACCATTACATATAATTATAAATTAAGATGGAAATGTGTAACGATCCGGCCGGTTTTTTCATGAGTTACAACCCTGTTACCCCCATTTCTGCTTCCTTGTGTGTTGTTCAGCTGTATTTCATCATATCGTGTTGGTTGTGTTGTGTTCGGAGTGGTCCTAGAGTGGAATGAGACACTTAGTCTCTTATTTGGAAGCTTAAGTTGGAAAAGTCAGTCAGATGTTGACTTATGTGTAGAAGATCTCGGATGTGAATTCTGATGATTCGGATAGCTTCGTTAGGTGATTTTGGACTTAGGAGCATGTTCGGAATGTAATTTGGAGGCCCGTAGTAGATTTAGGCTTGAATTGGCGAAACTGGAAATTTGGAGCTTTCTGGTTGGCCGTGGAGATCTTGATATCGGGGTCGGAATGGAATTTCATAAATTGGAGTAGCTCCGTTGTGTCATTTGTGACGTGTGTGCAAAATTTCAGGTCATTCAGATAAGGTTTGATAGGCTTTTACATCGTTTGCGGAATTCGGAAGTTTGCAAATCCTTAGGCTTGAATCCGAGGGTGTTTTGGTGTTTTAATGTTATTTTGAGTGTTCCGAAGGTTGGTAGAAGTTTGAATGATGATATGTGACTTCTTGGTATGTTTGGTTGTGGTCCCGAGGGCCTCGGGATGGATTTGGGTGGTTGACGGTGTTGATACCCAATTTTTCCCTATAATATTTTTTCAAAATGCATATATACCTCCAAAACTATGCATTAGCATCAATTAATATTTTTTCATGAAGCCCCAGCATGAGATTGCTTCTCTACTCCTATACTCCTACTGCATTATCTACTTAGCTCATACTGGATACCAATTCATATTACTTAGATAGGTATCCAATTTTTTACAATGCTGAGCTCTTATATGAACCTCCTGAATAATTAGTTTCACTATACTCTGTGCATTAATCTGTTTCTTCTGAAAGATAGTATTGTTCCTGGCTTGCCAAATATGGTAGACTGCTGCAGCCAATACCATTCTGTAAATCTCTGCTCCTGCACTCTTTCCTGCTGCCTTCTTCTCTGCCCATTGAACTTCTTCCTTCCACTGCTTTCCCCTTCTCATGACCCCTTGCCAGTGTAGTAGTTTTTGCCATATCTCTTTTGAGTAATCACAATCAAAAAACAAATGCTGCACTGTTTCATTGCTCCTGTGGCACATTGTACACAAAGTTTCATCTATTGAGCCCCATCTTGCAAGTCTCTCTTTAGTAGCTAACCTGTCTTGTATAGCTAATCTTAGGATAAAGATCCACTTTGGCATTCCCTTTGTAACGACCCGGCCGGTCGTTTTTGAAATTTACGCTCCAATCCCCCATTAACTGCTTTCCCTAAGTTCATTTCTGCTATTTTGGTTTGCCGGGACGTTCGGTATTAGGATTCAGAGTGTTTTGGGACACTTAGTCCCTAAATGAGAGTTTAAGAGTTGAAAAATGGTCCGTATTCGGAACGGTGTGAAGACGACCTCGGAATGGAAATCTGATGGTTCAGTTAGCTCCGTTAGGTGATTTCGGGGTTAGGAGCGTGTTCGGAATGTTATTTGGAGGTCCGTAGCTCATTTAGGCTTGAAATGCCGAAGTTTGGATTTTTGAAGTTTCCGGTCCGATAGTGAGTTTTTGATCCGAGGGTTGGATTTGAATTCCGGAAGTTGCTGTAGCTCAGTCATGTCATTTGGAATGTGTGTGCAAAATTTCAGGTCATTCGGACGAGGTTTGGTTAGGTTTTTGATCGAAAGCGTATTTGGTTAGAATTTGAAGTTCTTAGGCTTGAATCCTTGATTTAATCGGGTTTTCGATGTTGTTTGGGGTGTTTTGAGGATTGGTGCAAGTTCGAATAAGGTATTAGGTGGTATTGGTGCTTTTGGTTGAGGCCCCGGGGGCCTCGGGATGATTTCGGGTGGTTAACGGGGAAATTTTCTAAGTTGTTGCAGCTGGTATGTTTTCCCTTCTGGTATTTTCGCTTCTGCGGTTTGGGAACCGCAGAAGCGGAGCCGCAGAAGCGGCTTCCTCATCGCAAAAGCGATTTTTGGCTTCCCCTCAGAGACCGCAGAAGCGGTCATCTTTCCGCAGAAGCGGAACCGCTGGAGCGGTCATGTGTCCGCAAAAGCGGAATTTCCCCCTTTAATGAGAAACCGCAGAAGCGGTTATTTTGCCGCTTAAGCGGGACCGCAGAAGCGGTCCCTTGTCCGCAGAAGCGAAAATGTCTGGGCAGAAATAGGAAATTTCGAGGGTTTAATTTCATAAGTTCGAAAATCAATTTTGAGCTCGGGCAAGGGCGATTCTGAGAGGATTTCGGAGAGGAGATTATTGGGTAACATTTCTATGATCCTTTCTAATTATATTCTATCATTTAGTAGTTAAATCCACCTTTTAAATTCGAATTAAGGATCAAAAATGGAAGAATTCGGGTGAAAGTTCATTGACTAAACTATTGGGTTTTGAGGGAGCATTCGACCTCCAATTTCTGAGATTTTTATATGGTTAGACTCGTGAGAGTACGAGGTTTCAGAAAATGTGAAAATTATTCAGTTCCGAGACGTTGGCCTGAGGGGCATTTTGGTCATTTCACCTATTTTCGCGCCTTAGCTTTAATTTCAATAGTGGAATCAGTTGTTTGCAATATTATTTACGATTTGTAATTTAATTGAATAGATTTGGGCCATTTGGAGTCGGATACTCGTGGCAAGGGCATCGTTCCCTAGTTGACTTCGCACCGGTTCGAGGTAAGTGGCTTGCCTAACCTTGTGTGGGGGACTTCGTCCCTTAGGATGTGATAATTGGTAATTGAATGCCTTGTACGTGAGGTGACGAGCGCGTACTTGAGCAAATTGTTGAAACCCGGATTTTTACTTAAATACTTGATTTGGATTCTCTTTCATATTTGCCTTACTTTACTTGCTTTTATAGCCTGTGCTAGCGTAGAAGAGCATGTTTAATTGATCCAAGCTGCCTATTTGTTTAAATTGTCTTAACTGTGAATACGTGGAGCATGTTAGGCCAGTATTATTTGATGCCTTGTATTGTTGTACTTAAATTTTTGAATAATTCGTTGATGTTGGTTGCGCATTTATATTGGGACTACGGATGCGGATTCCGGGAGTTCCCCCTTGATTGTTTACTTTGGGACTACGGGTTTGATTCCCGGGAGACCCCCCTGTATTTTATTTTGGGACTACGGGACGGTATCCCGGGAGATTCCCCTGCACTTTTATTTTGGGACTACGGGAAGGTATCCCGGGAGATCCCCCTGCACACTGATGATTGGATTACGGGACGGTATCCCGAGAGATCTTTTCATATCGATATGAGATTTGGACTACGGGACGGTATCCCGGAAGTTCCATTGGACAGTTGAAAAAGGGCTACAGGACGGTATCCTGGGAGACCCCCGTCGGTATTCTTGTAATTTTGCTGTATTTACTCTGTGTTTCTGTTTTGTCTTGCAGTTCTATATTTCATTGATCTGTCTTATCACATCGCTGTGTTCATTAGTTTTCTTCAGACTTCGATACTGTTAATATCTTGCTATTTTATTGTTTCTGTCTCAGTAGGGCCCTGACCTTTTCCTCGTCATTACCCAACCGAGGTTAGGCTTGGCACTTACTGAGTACCGCTGTGGTGTACTCACGCCTCTTCTGCGCATGTTTTTCATGTGCAGATCCAGGTGCTTCTGAGCAGGCATACCGCCATTAGCTGTCAGGGAGCGTATTGGGGGCTTGAGGTATACATCTGCTACGTCCGCAGATCCGCAAAGTCTCCTTCTCATTTTATCCATAGTTGTTAGATGTTATTTCGATCCCTCTTTGTATTAGACTATTCTGGTGACTAGAGCAGTGTAAGACTTCTTATAGCCTGTGTTGCCCGTGGGTTTTCGGGTCTTGGTGGTTATTTTAGTATTTTGTATTAAAGTGTATGCGCCAGGCGGCAACTGTATACATTACTCATGTTATTTAGCTTCGAATATAAATTTCGCAAATGTTGTTACTTCCGCAATGTGTTAGGCTTACCTAGTCGTGAAGACTAGGTGCCGTCATGACGTGTTCACAATTGGTGAACTAGGGTCGTGACACCCTTGTTGTTGCATACTAAGCTTCTCCATTTCACCTTTTGAAAGTCCCCTTGTAGTGCTTTGTATATCTTCCTTGTGGAAAAACTGTCACTGTGCCTCACATCATTCTCTGAGTATCCAGCCTCTTGAAATTGTTCCTTAGATTTGAATATTTTCTGGATCACCCAGGAAGCATTCTTTGGTTCAGTATCCCATATATTGTTATTTTTTATGTAATATGTATGCACCCACTGCACCCACAACTTCTCTTTCAGCTTGCAAACATTCTAAAGGAACTTGCAAATAGCAGCTTTGTTCCATAGTTCTATGTTTATGAAATTTAAACCCCCTGCTACCTTAGGTGCACACAGCTTGTCCCAAGCTATCAGAGCTTTCTTTGTTGGCTCAGCACTGCCCGACCATAAGAACCTTCTGCAGATTGCCTCAATGAATTGTATAATTTTCTTTGGTAAAATGAACACTTGGGCCCAAAAATTCTGAATTGTTCCCAATACACTTTTAATCAGTGTTGCTCTCCCTGCATAGGATAGAAACTTAGCTGTCCAGCATTGAATCCTATTTAGCATTTTATCAATCAAAGGCTCACATTGGATTGCTGACAATCTTTTTGTACTCAAGGGAACACCAAGGTATCTAAAAGGTAGATCACCTTTAGTGTATCCTAGTACTTCCATTATTTTCAGTTGTGTCCTGCTTTCTACCCCTCCAAAATATACACTGCTCTTGCTTGTGTTTGCCACTAATCCAGAAGCTGCAGAAAATTTCTGAAATTGCTTGTGTAGTGCCACGACTGACTGCACATCTCCCTTGCAAAATAATAGCAAATCATCCGCAAATCCCAATTGTATTAGTTTTTGGCACACCTTGGATGAAATCTAAATTCTTTATTGTTTCCCAGCTGTTTCATTAGCCTACTTAGGTACTCCATTGCAATTACAAAAAGCAATGGTGAGAGGGGATCTCCCTGTCTTAATCCTCTTCTTGCCTCAAATGGTTTAGCTGGCTTCCCATTGACAATAACTGAATATGAAACAGTGCTGATACATACCATTACCCACCTTACATACTTTCTGGAAGTCCCAATAGCCTCATCACCAGCTCAACAAATACCCATTCCACAGAGTCGTAGGCCTTTTGCACATCAATCTTCATCATACACCTAGGTGATATATTCTTCCTCCCATAGCCTTTAACCAATTCATGGCTCATTATGATATTCTCCGTAATCAACCTCCCTGGCACAAAAGCTGTTTGACAATTGTCGATCAATTCTGGCATGACTTCCTGCAATCTAGATGTTAGTATCTTGGATATAATCTTATATAACACAGTGCAACAGGAGATGGGTCTGAATTCTTTGATAGTACTGGGGTTCTTCACTTTTGGGACTAAGGTGATAGTTGTACAGTTGATTGCTTTGCACATTACTGAATTCCTCAAAGAACTCCATTACAGCTTGAGTCACCTCCTTCCCTATAATATGCCATGCTTTCTTAAAGAAGAATGCATTGTATCCATCACATCCTGGTGCTTTGTTGTCATCAATACCCTGTAGTGCTTGCTTGATTTCTTCATCAGTTACTGGTCTTATTAAATTCATTTGTTGTTGTCTCCTTAGGCTGTAGCCTTGCTGCATCACTTCTGCATTTACTGCTGGTAATTTAGTTGTTGTTGTTCCAAGTAGCTGCTTGTAGAAGTTGATTATCTCTACTTCCACATTATTAGCATTCACAAGTAGTTGCCCTGCACTATCTGTCAGTCTCCCAATATGATTAGTTGCTTGTCTGTTCTTGACACATGCATGGAAATATGCTGTATTTGAGTCCCCCAGGTTTAGCCATTTAATTCTTGATTTCTGCTTCATTATACTTTCCTCAATATCAAGCCATTTAGCCAACTCTATCTTTGCCTCTTTTTCTTGCGCTACACTTTCATTGCTATTTCCAGGTCCAACTATTTGTTCCTGGATCCCTTCCAATTTAGCTCTTGCTACCAGTATTCTGTGCTCTGTATTGCTGAAATCTTGACTATTCATTTCCTTCAATTTAGTCTTTAAGTCCTTGAGTTTCATCCACACTTTGTTCATTGCTGTGCCACCTCTCCTATTTGTCCAACATTTGTGTACAGTTTCCACAAAGTCTTTATGTTGAGTCAAGCAATTGAAAAACTTGAAAGGTCTCTTCCCATTCTGCTGTT